CCGCGGGAGCCGCGGCCCAGAGACCCGCCCGGGCGGCAGTGACTGGAGCCGAGCCCACAGGCCTGGGCCGGCTCGGCGGCGCGAGCAGGAAGCGGGGTCCCTGGGCCCCTTTGTGTGAAGGGCGGGGGAGGGGTGCCGGGCCGCCCCTGGCCGCGGGGGCCCCCAGTTCTGCGGCCCCCACCGCTTCTCTCGGGGGCGCGGCGCGTCTCCCCACCCCGCCTCTCCGGGCTTGCCCTCCTCCCCACGCCCCCTGCCTGGGCTTCGGTTCCTATAGGAAGGGCATCACCATCTCATCCCCACCCACCCGACACTTGGCTCTTTCCCCTCCCCCTCCCTTAACTTCCTCTTCTTCCCCCGTTGGGCCCTCTGCCTCTCCGCACTCTCCTCCCCAGTTCGCAGATTTCCGCCCACCTTCCGCCTCCCCGAGCCGCCGCGGCTAGCGGGGTGTTCTTTTTCCCTCCCTCTGGTAGGAGTTGCTGAAGGTGAGACTCATGAGGGAATACAAGGTAGTGGTGTTAGGGAGCGGAGGGGTTGGCAAATCTGCCCTTACGGTGCAGTTTGTCACTGGGACTTTCATTGAGAAATATGACCCCACCATTGAAGATTTCTACCGCAAAGAGATCGAAGTGGACTCTTCCCCCTCCGTGCTGGAAATTCTGGACACCGCAGGAACTGAGCAGTTTGCCTCCATGAGAGATCTCTACATCAAAAACGGCCAAGGTTTCATCCTGGTTTATAGCCTGGTTAATCAACAGTCTTTCCAGGTAACCATACCGAGTCTTGTAATTTGTTAGAAGGGGGTGTGGTAATCCCACATTTACTTCTGATGTGCTTGAACCGTGCCTTAATGACTATGTTTTGCTTCTGAAAGTTAGACATGGCGCATTTTTGAGGTTACTTCTGGCACGGAAAAGTACCGGGTTGTTTCTATAGAGTCTACAGTAACAACCGTCAACAAATATTTTAAAGTTATTTTTGAGTCAAAGAAAAGTGAGAACGAAATGGGGCAGTCTGTGTATATTTAGCTTGGAAGGGAACCTTCTGAAGTTGCTTGTTCGATTCAACAAGTATTGATTAATGTACTTACCAGAACAACATTTAACAGAGAATCTCAGGTAAATAGAGCACTTTGCAGAGAAAATTATTTGGAGCCGGTATCTGTAACTCCTCTGTGTCTGCTTTCCCCACCTCTTCCTCTGTGTTCTCTCACCCAAGTTCCTCAACCAGATTCATAAATCTTAGTGTTACAAGATGAAGAACTCAAGACCTGCCTTCTAGGCATTTTACTTACTTCGGGGCGGGTGAAGGAAAGTTACTAATTGAAAAGACTAGTACCTAGAATTAATAACCGACAAAAAGCTACAGTGACTCTCCTCTTCTGCAGTTGATCCAAGTTGTTTCTGATAACACCGACTATATTTATACAAAATATGTGGATCAGGGAACACCGGGCAAGTGCAAATTTCTAACCCTGGCTGGGTGGCCAAGCTGGAGGTGGTCCAATTTCTTCCGAAAATCTGTCCTGTCCTTCACTGGGAGACCGACTGAAGGCTTAACATTATTTTAAGAGATGCAGTAAATGTTGCTATTTATTCCTTGAAAATAAATAACCTCATATTGACCCATTGTATTGACCTCCATTGATTTAGGAAATGGATAGTTTTTCTGCATTTAAAGGTATGTGCTTAATGTTGCTTGCTTAAGAGACATTAAGTGCTTCAGCGAATACAATGTGCTAATTCCACTTTTCTTAGTATTTAAATTACAGTGCTCTAGTGAAGTTTTCCAGTAACCACATATAGCAACTTCAGGATTTTTTTTTTTTCTTTTTAAGATATAATAAGTATAGTGACCAAACTAAAGTACATTTTATGTGGGCTTGAATTGCAAAGCAATGATAGTATCATAAAAGCATTTTCCCCCAGAAAGTACCAAAGGTGCTATTTGACAGGCATTTTCTTTCTAAAGGATCCTCGAGAGATTTGTTATTCTATTAGCTGACTCTCTTGAGGCTGGAAGTCCTCTGAAGGGTTTTTCATATGATTTCCATTATATCTGCTTCTGTTACAGGCATAAATAGGGAGTGAAAAACTGCCATTATTTCAACGGAGACTTAAACTCTTTCAAGCCCAACTGTCATAAATTTGGTTTCTCATTTGAACTTGTGTTTCCATAAGGACACAGGGAAAAAGAGCTTAACCTAGAAGACCAAACTGATACATGATCAAACAAAATCGTTGCAAACATCAAATAATGATGGGTTCATAAATTTTCATAGTCCTCTGTTTTTCCTTCATCCCGCAAGCGAATGTTCCATTCACTGTTAACTATTCAAATTAAACACGTTTGATATTTAAGTCAAACCTTTTAAGTTACGAAACATTTAAAGAATGGAAACTTAGTATTAAATCTATAAAATTGCCTTAAAGCGACCCTTCCTCCCCTCCCCCAAAGTTGATGCCACCTGAGAATCGCCAGGGCTCTTATCTTTTATCATGAATTGTAATTAGAAAAAATAATACACTTGGGAGAAAACTGACGCTGTAAAACCTAACTAGGCAAAGGGAAGTATGACTGTCTTCCCGCCCAGACTGCTCCTCGGTGCATTTGTCCCTCCCAGGAGGTGCTCACTGTTAGATTAGTTTCTAGTGTATTTTAAGGTGTCTGATTTTACTGGGATGAAGGCCTACTATTAAATTTAAAATTAAACATTTAAGTGTATAAATCTGTTTTGAACTGGTCTTTGAGACATGACACGGTGTTTTTGTTCCCACCTGAAACACTTTCTCTCAGGCACTCTTGCTAAATGGCTAGGAATGCATGGATGCCGCAAGCCTTGCTGGGATAACAGGTGTTTGCAGGAGTGCTGACAAGCTGGCAGGTTTAAGGAGATAGCCGAACATCCTCATACACAAATGGATTCACCAGAATTGGGAACTTACTTTTTAAATCGGTACAGACCAGGGGAAAGAAGTATGAGTCCTAAGGTTCATGTGCAGCCTACATTTTATATTCTTGACAGAAACCCAGCAGGTGGGATCTGTGGAAATGATCGAGTTCCTACTTGGGTGGAGAAAATGTTTATTTTCTCCATTTGGGTATATGGTTTTCTTTTGGATTCAGCTTTCTGTACTCCCCGAGGGATGACTTCTTGTGATATTGTAATACTCCTGTTATGGTCATGCAAACAGCATATTTTTTTTCTCTTTGTGATTGTTTGAATAGGATATCAAGCCCATGAGAGATCAGATTGTCAGAGTGAAGAGATACGAAAAAGTCCCACTAATCCTAGTAGGAAATAAAGTGGATCTGGAACCAGAAAGAGAGGTTATGTCTTCAGAAGGCAGAGCCCTGGCTCAGGAATGGGGCTGCCCTTTCATGGAAACATCGGCAAAAAGTAAATCAATGGTGGATGAACTTTTTGCTGAGATCGTCAGGCAAATGAACTATTCGTCCCTGCCCGAGAAGCAAGATCAGTGTTGTACAACTTGCGTTGTCCAGTAAAAAAAAAGAACCTCAAATCATGGCCATACCGAGCAGGTTAGTTGTTGATGGAACCTCATGAGTCCTGAGAGTGTTTTGGTTTTGATCGAGTATAACAAAAAGCTGGTTAATATTAATACACGTTGTGCTACCTTCAGTTTCCTTGTTTGTTCTTAAAGTAATATTTCCCTTAGCACAAAATAGTCAACATTCAATGAAGAAAAAAAAAGACAGATAAGCCAAAGGAAGGTAAGAAATTGCCTGTATTCCTGTCACTAAGATTTATTTTTAAAAGTGAATTATTGTTCTCTCTGCTTCATCGATAACATTACTTTGGGGTGGGGTGAGTTAAAGGATAATACACCTCTCCCCTGTTCTGGTGATTTCGCATCCAATAAAAATTTCAGAAGATGAATGCTTTTATGTTTTCTACACTTTTCTGTCCTGGGCTAGAGAGCTGCTGTAATTGAAATCATCAATTTACTAATCACCCAAGTGCTTGATTTAACAGGATGATTATTTAATCAAGTTCATCTGTACCTTGCACTTGAGGGACTTAAGTGACCTCTGATAATAACAAATTGTAGTGCCACAGCGTACCTTGACTTCATTATGAATATATGGTCCAAATGAGAATCGGGGAAAATCATCTGTGATGTGTTAGAAGAGACACACCCAAGCCCAGGCAACATTTTTATTCGGTTTAGTAAATAATGGAGTTAATAAGAACAATAACAAAACCTTCACACCTTCCATTGAGTTGAGTGATAACTTCATAAAAGTTTTTTCAAATGAATGA